TTTTCTTTGAAAAAATTTAGATTTTTTATTTTTCCATATTTCTTTTATATTCTTTCTTAGAAGACTAAGCAAAAGCAAGACGTATAGGAATAAGACTAAGAATCTGCTAGCCAACACTGCAATAACATGCATTGAGCAACACTAATACTAACTGTTTCAGAAAAAGGTTGCCTAGATTAGGCAAATATATATAATATATTGGAAAATATATATTGCCATATATGTATGTATGTATGTATCAACTTATCTATTTCTATGTACGTTTGTATGTTTTACATAGTGTTTGAATTGGTTTTGGTTTCATTGTATCTCTCGCACACACACAAACACATACACACAGACACACACACACACATACAAATTAACCTCATTGTCGGTAAAAATGTTGAAATGGTCAATTTGTTAAATAAATTGTGCGATTTTTATGAAAGCATTAAATATTTGTTGTTTGGCAGCATTTGAGGCCATTTGGGCTGTGATGCCAGGCTGCAGTTGCTGGGATGCAGTGATGCTGCTGGGATATTTGCAATGGGTAAATAACATAAAATTAAAATTCTTTTGTTTGTCATTTCATAGTTTTGTTTTTGTTTTTTAATGCCTATAGAAGGGGCGGGGGCTGACGGGGCATTTGCTTTAACAGATACAAATCCGTTTTATTTGTTTTTCGTATTTAGTTTTCGTATTTCTGTTTTTTTTTTTTATAGATATTTTTTTATTTTTATTATGGCCAGCATATTTGGGTTTCGCGCTTCCACAATTATCCGGCTGTCACCAATTACCGAACGCTGCCCCTCCCCCGCCAAAAAATAGCACGCCTGCTGATGATTGTGCAGCTGGGAAATCCTCTGAAAATTATTGCATTCATTAAATTTTAAACAAAGGTGATTAGATTTTATAATTCTCTCACACCTCTCGCACACCTATTTTTGCCAATTGCATTCGGCGTACAGTTGTGCTCATTATTTATTTAGAACAATTGCAATAAAAGTATTTAGTATTTCGTATTTAGTATTAATATTTGGCATTGTATTTAGCTTTCAGTTGTTCCTTTATTTATTAGTCGGTTGCATTTTGTTTGTCATATCGTAACGTGGGATCAACAATTTGCTCCTTTGTTGTTGGCTGTTGGTTGTTACAACAATTAATTTATTTTTCCAAAAATTCTATTTCCATGCTTTTTATTTGTCGGGTTTAATTAATTTCCACCTGCCTCCCAATATATAGTGTATGTATATCTCACCTGTATATGACTGCATTATTTTTTATACATTATCGTGCCGAAATTATTGCAATGCCCCTGTGTTAGTTTGTTTTTTGATAATTGTTTAATTATTCAATACCAGCATAAAATATTTTATTATTTATCAATTAAATCCGTCCACGATTTTTTTTTTTTTTTTAATTGTCTTTCCTATTTTCTGATATATATTAAAAAATATATATAATACAAATTTTTCATTCTGAACTTTTTATTTAATT